GACCACTGTTTCACAGCTGTTACAACAGCATCACTGCCAGGAAAATGTTGTCCATGTAGCCCAGCTTTCTTTGAGCCAAAGAGACGGCAGTCAGAAGGTGCCAAATCTGTACTATATGATGGCTGTAGTAGAACAGTCCAGCCAAGATTGGACTGTGGAACACCCACGGTCTTTGAGCTGCTATAGGGCCTGGCATGACTGTGTCGCCAGAGAAAGGTTGTTTTCCTCTCTGGCCTGACTCTGCAAGTTTGAGCCTTCAGCTTAGTCAGTGTTGCAATGTAGCTGTCAGTGTTGATGGTTTGTCTGTGTTCCAGGGATTCCAGAAGGATCACCCCTTTCCTATCTCAAAAAAACAGAGCACATCACTTTACCTGCTGAGGGCTCCGTCTTGAACATCTTCTTTGATGGGAAATTCACCTGTGCCATGGACTGCAGTTTTGACTCTGGCTCAGAGCCTAACCAGAAAAGGAGAATAGTCTTCTTGCTCGGTGGGTTCTATATAGAGAAAGCACTTGAATGATTTTGTTTTTAATCAAAGAAATTATATGTAAGAACTACCTACCTTAAGAGCTATTAAATTTAAGAGGTATTTCAAGTTTCTTGATGTTAAAATGAAAACAAATCCTCTATGCAAGAACCCTGCTCTGGCCACTGCTTCTCTTCCTGAGCTGTGTTCTTCATTCCAAGTAGTTAATTTTTATGACTTTATGAGGTTTCTCTTCATCATCAATGTGATGGTTTTATGAACTAACACAGAATTCTAAGCAAAAATAATGTAATTTAACACTTCTCTAATTACAGTATTATCTATTGGTATACTGCATTTATGGAAAAAGATGTATGGAGTATTATTTTCCAGATTGCAATTACAAGGCCATTTTCTTTGGGGAAAAAAAAAAAAGGCCATAGTTGAGGGATGTTTTTAGCCTTCCAGTTTTTGTCCCTCTTTTCAGGCTTCGTTAACAAGTGCTATGAGAAATTTTTTACAAAATACTGCTTGTCCCCTCGGATGCACAGCAGCTGGGCTGGCTGACCGGCTTACACATTTTTCAAGTGTTCTTTTAACTGCTTTTTAGGAACAACAAGTTTTATAAGCCTTTTGTTAATTGTAATTTGTTCAACCCTTATGGAAGTTGTTTTCCAAATGAACATAAAACATTGCTACTGCTGAGTCATTCGTTTCTATCCTCTCCATTTATCTTGTATCTATTTGGAGTTTCCATTTCTCTCCTCTTCAATCTGCTTGCTAAGCCTACTTTCCTCATGGATGTATTATTTCATTTTTTCTGTTCTACCATTTTTGCTGTTTTTATTGACTCCATGTACATATATATGACTCTTAGTTTTCCATTTCCAAAAAATTCTGGTTTTTTATTCCTTCCCATTGCTGACAGTTTCATGCAGAGCCTTTTTATCCTGCAGCTGTAGCAAAACAAAAACAAAAACAAAAATCAAAACAAACCAAAAATAAACAAACTTAAAAACAAAAAAGTGATGCTGAGAGAAGTGAGGTTACTTCTTCCTGCTTGCAAGCTTGCACGTTTCCTCTCAGGTTTTCTTGGCTTCTCATCAAGAAAAACAAGAAAAGAGACAAGAACTATGTGTTCTTGGCTTGTCACAGTATTTTATTACCTTGAAGGATAGAGATCAACTTGTTGGGCATAAAACGAGCACTTTAGAGCAAGCAGTTTGTGGATTTTTTTAAACAATTTTTATTTGGCATCATCAGTCAAACCCTTCATGTTGCTGAAATCTATTGCTGTCTTTGAAAAATCCGTCATTCTAAGCTGGTACAAAATCAGTTCAAAGACAGATTTTTCTTTATGAATTTATGATTTCTTAGAAGCTCTTGAAAGTGTCTCCTCAAAAGAATAATAAGAAGTACTTAAAATATGTTCGTACTTTCTTCTATGAACCAATAACAATGGATATAAATTCTGGCCTTCCTCATATTACAAAACAAAAACTAGTTTGAAAGAATATTAGAGGTTGAGAAATCACATCTTGAGATGTTAGGAAATGTCACCTAGTATTATTTTGACAATTATGCATTATGATACAATTCTCAGTTATGTTCCAAACATTAAAAAAAAAAAAAAAGTTTCACTGAGTCAGTAACTGCCATGTGCTTACATTCTTCTTATTGCTGGGACTGTGTGCAAGACTGCAGCGCATATTATCCCTAAATCTGACATTTCCTCCTTCTATCTGCTCCTGCAAGTGCATCTTATTCCACTTCAGCAGCCTGAAGTCCATCCTCTGCTTAACGTCTGGATCTTTGTTCAGTCGCAGTCTCGCCATGCAGTCAGTTTTAAGGTTAGATCAAAATGACCAGCTGAAAACCCCCATTCAGCCATCCCATTACACTGGAGGTATCTGACCGCTGAAGAGGTGGAATTTGTCAATTTCAGCTAGTAACCTTAGGCCCCTCCTATAGACAGAGAAACAGAAACTTACAGGGCACCACTGATGACCACTCAGGAGTCTTCAGGAGAGAAACTGCAGCCCAATGAATTGGCCTTTCTAGTTGTGTTGATATATGGCAGAAGTATTACTACGCAAGCATACTTCTTGATTTTAGTCTAAAAATATACTCCAGTGCTAAGAAAAGAATGTGAGATTTTGTACATCTATTTTTAATCTGTTTAATTCTCAACTACTAATGCTCTTCTAAGTAGTGCAAGTTTGTTACCTTCTCATATGATCAGAATTCTTAAATATGTACATATACTTTTCATTTTATTCTACGTGACTGCCCACTACCTTTCTTATCATTTGTATAAAGGATTGAGTAAAAACTTTTCTACCTAATATTTATTCTAAAGAATTGCCAATGCAATCTTTAAAATGGTTATTATCTCTGTCCATTGTAAGATTGTAAGAAGAGAAAGAAATATTTTCACCAGGTACCATACTGCAATTTTCTTCTGCTATCATTGTTAGCAAGTTCTTAAGTTCTATGTAATTTCACTGCTAAGAGTAAATTAGAGTTGCAAGGAAGTCTTTTTCCCAGTATTCTGTTTTAAAACGTGAGGTCCCAGATTAAAATTTATTACCACTGCTTCAAAGTTTCTAAAGCTTATCGTGAAGTGTGGTCTTAGGAAAATTAATATACTCTATTAGAAGGAACTGATCTTTTCTGTGAATAATGAACAGTCTACAATGAAAGTTTATATTGTCTCACTATTCTCATCAGTTATCTTCTTTTCTTTCACCAGCAACAGATAAACCCACTGTAGAATTTTATGATGTTTTTAAATGAAAACTAATAGCTGGTAAAGGCACAGGCACATTTGCACATCACAATGAATATTTTGTGTCTCTTCAGATAGCAGGTAAATATATCAACAACCATTGTATGGTAATTATGTCTCATTTATGGTTCAAGAAGTCAGTGCATATACTGAGTATAGCAACATTTTTGCTCAAGTAAGTTAGACACAAATGGCTTCAAAAGGAATTACAACTGTTTAGGACAATTTGAGGGTTCTCTTTCAAATTCATTGTATTTTATAGGCTCTGTAATTGCCAAACACTTTGGATTTAGTAGGCACAAAAAGGTGAGGAATAAATTTGTTTATTTTTAAACTTCAGTTCCTGCTGAAATTGTAAATGACTTTTACATGAAGCAGTTCAGATACCTACATTCCAAGCAGAACACCTAACTAAAGAAAGTATCTTATTATAAATGTACTTCAATTCTCAAGTGATTCTAAGTCAATTTGTCTGTCCTATCACCAGATATTTCACATGCCACGATGAAGAAATCTGCATATATATTTACAGACTTAAAATATGTTAACGTACTGTTAACTAACAAAGTTTGTTTTTCAGCCTGAGGTATATGTGGAGCAATACAGAGGTTTGGAAAGGAGTACATCATTCTTGCATCTTCTCCTGTCTTGACCTCTATTTTTGCAATTTCTTGTGCTTTTTTTTCCAAGCACATGACAACAGATAGCAGAATTAAATGCTTCCCCTTCACAACTTCCACTTCCCAGAGATGTGCTAATGCAACTTTACAGATCCATCGCTCCAGCAGTGGCTGGGGTGATCCTATCCTCCTCTTTTTCAGCAAACGGCTGTGACCCGACAGAATAGCTGTGGTAAATGGGTTCAGGGGTCCTGGCAGAGCTCCAAAGAGTTTGTGGTGATGGAGACAGCAGAAGACACCAAGCTGAGAGGTGCAGCCGTATGACAGAAGGGAACAGAAGCTGAGCTAGGCCCCATCCCTGGAGGCACTCAAGGCCGGGTCGGGTGGGGCCCTGGGCAGCCCGAGCTGCTGGGGGCAGCCCTGCCCACGGCACAGGGATAGGACCCGTGACCTTTAAGGTCCCTTCCGGCCCAAGATGTCCGCGCGTCTGTGAGGACGAAGGAAACGAAGGGCCAGAAGGACCAGGCGAGGTGGGTGGCTCAGAGCGAGCGCAGCCACCCGCTACAAAGCGCAGGCAACAGCAGGGCGGCGCACGGGCAGGCAAACGTAACCCCGCGCCCAGGAGCCACCCACCACAGGCCTCAGCCGCCCCTCGGCGGCCCCACTCGCCCGCCAACGCCGGCACCACGCCTGCGCCGCGCCGGGGCGGCGGTTTCCCCGCGGGCCGTGACGCCACACCGTCTCCGTGACGCCGCGGCGGCGTGACGTGACGCGGCCACGCGGAGGGGCGCGTGTGTAAGTTCCCTTCCCCTGCGGCGGAGGGAGCCGCGGGACGGGGTGGGGGCGGGCGGGACCGCTCCCGGTCTCTGCTCACGCCGCCCCGGCTTCAGGAAGCCGGCGGCGGGGCCGGGCGGTCTGGCGGCCGCTCGGGGCTGGGCAGGAGGAGGGGCCGGGGCCGTCCGGCGAGGCTCTTCCCGCGCTTCGGAGGGTTGCGGCGGGGCCGGGCCGAGCTGAGCTGAGACGCGGAAGCGCCGCGCCGGGTGAGATCCCGTCAGCGCCGTGCCCGGATCCGGGCCCGAGTGCCGTCAGCAGACCTCGCCGCCTCCTCCGGGCAGCGCTGCCGTCCCGTAACGCTGCCGAGGTCCGGAAGGAGCCTGAGGGCGCCCGGCCTCGGCTCTGTGGAAGTAGATGCGATCGGGGCGGAGGGCTCCTGCCCGGCCGGGGCTGAGGCCTGTCACCTCCACAGCTCCTCGGGGCTTCGTGTTAACGAGGTAACGACCGTATCCCAAGCACTGAGCGGTCCTGTGTGGCTGGTGTTGGAAAAGCAAAGAAGGAAGTGTGAGAAGGCTTCCTAGAAGCGTTGTGGGAGGGCTGTGAGCATGCCCTCAGTGAGGCAGATGAGAAAGAAAGCACGAGAGAGTCTTGCTGCACTTTATCTTGTCCCACGGTCACGATTGCTGGAAGACTGCCCAGTTCTGTGCCTGAGCTGGATCTGTGGGATGCGCCTTACATACTATCGGCAGTCTTATCCCCTTCAAGTCAGGAGCCAAGCAGCAAGTAGCAGTTGTTTACTCACTGCTTTCCTGGGAGCTGTGTAAGGAGCCCGAGGCTCACTCAGCGGTCCCATATCTGTGGTGCAGTTCACCTGGCTTAGAGTAGAAGTTACTGTCATGGATTTGCTTACACTGATGCATTTGTAATGTGATATGAGCAATGGAATAATTACTATGCAATAAAATCACAGAGAGATGGCTAAAATAAGGTAAATGCACAACTCCCCTGGATCACAGGATTAGCTGAGTGCTGCTTGGTTTTTTGCTCGTTCTTTTTTTTTTGCTATTTTTTTTTTTTTATTTTTTTCCAGGGCTGCACAGCAGCCAAGATACTCAGTTGCTTTTTTTTTTTTTCCCATCTAATCTTATCATAGCTACTTATTTTTAGTAGCAGTTCTGGTGAAGTTAGCTCTTTTTGTTTATTTTATTTATTTTTATTTTTTAGAAGCTATTTTTGTGCAAAGCAAAATGTACGTATCAGCACGAGGGCATATCTTGTTCTGCTTCGGCTGTTGAAGGAATTGGGTTTTGTCCAAGTTCCAGAAAGATCAGAAAGGGAAGAAAGGAAAAACCTTATAACAGTTATGATGCCAGTTTAAAGTATTTTTCTCTAGTGATCTGGTGTAATGTGTTGGTTCAGTGAAAAAAAAAAAAATGAGTTCTTGCATAATGATAGCTGGAGGGTCAAAATAAAAACAACATGAGTCAAAGGTTTTCAGCGTTTGCACAGTCTGCTTGAGTAATAGATTTTAAGGTGACCAGAAATTCTGTAGCTAGTGTTTACCCAAACATTCACAAGGGAAATACTAATTTCCTATTTATCTTCTGAGTCTAATTTCTGGAAATATTGGAGCTAGCAATGGCAGTGACAGCATATGATGAGATTTTTGTCATTGCCATGTATGACTTTGGATATGGTTAGCAAACGTCATATGTATATGTTTTTAATGTGCAGGTTCAGTGATCATGCTGCGTTAGACCAACAGGACTTTCTTCATCAGTGACTTGATGTGTTTTGAGGAGTTTTATGTGAAGAGGTAACGTTTATGGATGTGGCTTAATGTTTAAGTGTTTGTATGAAAATGATGATAGTTTTGTGTATGTGTTTGAACCTGATGAGATAGGTATTGTTGGGTCAAAAGAAAATGGTCAAATAGTGAAAGCGTAACTTGGAAAGGAAACTTGCTGACAACGTTATTACCGTTACAGAAACTTACACTTCTAAAAGTAAATGGTCAAATCAGGAATGTGCTTACTTACAGTTATTTCAGCAATATCGATTCAAGCATTTATTACTGTGTCTTGTAACCTAAATGATGGGAAATGTATGCTGAGCCTCGAAGAACATGGTGTTGTATTTGCCCCAACTGAGAACAAACACATTTTAGGAGGAGTCTTGTTCATTTACTGCTTTCTTAAACGTATACCTTTGTTTCTAATTTAATATGATGTCCTGACCTTTGTGAAATACATTTTGTGAGAGATTGGGACTTCTCTGTTTTTTCTTTAAAACAGGAATTTAGATGAATTAAATACTTTATTGGCCATAGGAGGATCAGGATGTGCAAGGTAGGTACTCTGAAAGAATGCAGTAAGTATCCTTGCAGAATATTCAAATGATTGATTCAGTATTTAAGTACAAATTAATGGTGTACTGTGAGGGGGGGGTTGAAACTAGATAATCATTGTGGTCCCATTCAACCCAGGCCATTCTATGATTCTGTGTTTTTTTTTTTGGTGTTTGCTCATTTGAATGCATCTTTGACTTACCATAGTGCAGTGCTTGCAGGTATTGGTTTGTCCTTAATAAGCTAATTAACTGAGTGGGGGAGGTGTTCAAAAATCTGTTTTAAAGGACTGTTTTCCAGGGTATTTATAGCATAATTAAACACTTTAGGAAATGTTTTCAGTTTGTGGAGCTGGACAGTGAGCTCAGACAGTGTTTGATTCAAGTAGATGCAACAGATGTGGGAAGAAAAAGCACCATATCTGACAGTTTTACCTGCCCTTAGCAATGGACTTGATTTGGGTTACTAGGTAGCTTCAGAGTTCATGGAGAGTTTTACCTGATTGGTTGAATTTGGCAGAGAAACATTGCTGTGCTCAGTGTCCCATATGAAGTCAGACATTATTGATAACTGAAAAAAAAAACGGAAACCAAACAAAGTGAGCTCTGCATTCCTTTGATAATTCTTATTTGAGAACATCCAAACATCTGGAACACGTATATTGATGATGTGAGTAAAGGAATTTAGCTTTTCTCTAGCTTGATTACAAGTGGTTGCATCTCACTGTTCTGTGTGTCTGTCTCTGCACCAGGTCACATCTCAGTGGAATCCCCTTTAGGTAAATGACTTGTTCTCCCGGGACTGCCCACTTACTGCTTTGATCTTCTCATCAGTGGGGACACTGAGAACTTTTAGGCAGTAACACAGAGTCCTTGTCAATTTGAGCCACATCAAGAGAGAAGACTGACAAGTCTAAGAAGCTACATTTGCTTTTGGTTTCTGTCAAATTTAATCCTAAATATACAAAAGTATCAAAAGCAGTGTTCAGCAGGAAAAGACTACAGAATTGGCTCCTGCTCATTCCCACTGAACTGTTCTTTTCATTCCATTTAATGGAGGTTGCAGTTTTTACTTTTTGGTGTAGTTAGCAACAGACTATCTGAAACTTCTTGCATTTGGCTCTGGAACAGCAAAGAACAAATGTCAGGGAGGTGCTGCGGCAGGAATAGAAGTGTTCAGAAAGTATGTGAGAATTTGGGGGGAGGTGACAGGGAAATCTTCCTCCTATTTCTTCCATGCTGGAATTCATATTGTAACATTTAGAGTTGGTGTTCAGTTCAAAACTTACTGTGCTGCAAAGGTTGATGTGTTGACATGGGCATGCTTTCCCACAGCTCAAATAGTGGAGAGTTTATTTATAAAGCAAAATATACCTCTGAAATTATAATTGATACTGTAATTATGGAGAACTTGCCTTAAAGAGGAGGCTTAGTGGCCTGTAGGACATTTTCCTGGCTTAGAATAGTCAAGATTTATACTGCAGCATTTTCTCTGTATGAGTCTTAAACAGGAAATTCCCCCATCAAGACAGAAAAACTTCAGTAATTAAGAGGTACTGTGATGGGGATGATAAGCCTAAAATAATGGTCAACTTTAAATGTTATTTATGGTTGGAACATCTAAATGGTGAGCTTTGCTTTACTTCGTGAGGATCATTGCTTTTTCAAAATACGCGTTCAGAAGCCAGCAGTGTGTGGTGCCAGCCTTTCCATAAACCAGGGTGTGCCAGATGTGTGTGGGATCCTGGGGAAGGTGGTTGCATTGGTTTCTCTATTTCACTTTGGTAACGAGCGGAATGCTTCCGAAGTTGCTGTGTTTTTTTCTTCTTTCAAAAGACTGGGAGTTTTGTACCTCAGCCTTGGGAAGGAGGCCGGTTCTGAATGTATTTCACGCTCATTTGTTACCTGGTGGAATGGTTGCTTGTTTATCTCACTTATAATTTTTTTTTCCCACTCATTGTCTGCCTGCACTTCAAGAACACCCATTGCCACTGTGCGGTTTAGAGATGATAAGAACGCAAATACGGTCTAATTTGCAGTGATTTTGATCACAGGTTGCTATGTTTGAGAGTTGTGCCAACTCTCTCTTGATGTACGTGTATAATGATGTACTTAATGCTTAGTGGAGCCTGAGGGATTTGTTCTCCTGTAGTGAAAAAGTGCTATTTATTTGCACCGTAATCTGCAGAGGAGGATAGCAGTAAATCTCCTGATTTTTCTTGAGATGGTGCTCCTTTATCTTGTGTTTTATAAAACCGTGCTGCCTCCTGCTCCGGGTGATTGTGGTCTAATAGTGACTGTAGCAGCCCTTATCATTTGCAGGGGAGGTGGGATTTGAAGTAGAGAAGTGTATCCTAGTTATCGCACACTTAATCACAAAATACAGAAGAGGGCTGGACTTTTTTTAAAAGCAGTTATTATAGCAGAATGAGATGCCAGAAGCGTCGTATCTGCAAGATATGTGGGATACTTGCTCTGTTCTCTCAGGTCTTACAAGATCATGACTGGAGTGGGCTGTTCAGATTTAGGAACAAGTCCTGCCATGTTTTCTGCTGACGAGCAACGTAGACATACTGCTGTAAGAAAACGGGGCAAACCAGCTTCCTTTTTAGCTGCAGCATTTGAATGGAGGCTAGGTACTCTGATTTGTTATGGTGCTGTGCCAAGACCAGAGCTGCAGTTCGATGTCAGAGCTCTGCAGAGAAAGTTGCCCTAATTCTCCACCTGCAAAGTGTTTCATCTCTTGGGTGTCTCCCAGAGTGTGTTGTGGAATTCCCACTGAGTTTAGAGCAGTCTGGTTTCTGTCCAGTGCAGATGACTTGTGTGTTGGAAAACAATTCAGCACCTTTGCACTGCAGGTAAATAGACAAGGGAAAACGTGGATAATAAAAACTGAAATACAAAACAACCATTTTCTTTTGTTTCCAACAAAATGGCAGTTATGAACTGAAGAAGAAACTTTGACTTCACCAGTGAGTTTTTGGCCTTCATTTAGTTCTTTACTGCACTGCATCTGCCCCATTCGCACACCCATCCTGAGACATTTTCATGTGTTGCTTTTGTATTTTGCTTTTGTATGTTGTATATTCCATAACTTTATTTCCTTCGTGGTTCTAGTGAATGAGTGACTGCAGACAAGCATTGGTCTTGCAGGAGTTCACTCTGCATGCACAGCTAGTGATGACATATCCACTGTCACTTTTCATTAGAAGTGAAAGCAAGGAAAAGGAAACAAAATAAGAATCATACAGAATAATTGAGGAAAGAAAGACTGAATGACAGATGAGTTGTCATACACAAGGTGTGGTGACAGTGGTAGCGCTGTTCTGATTTGCAACTTCAACGATAACTAAGGAAGCATGGCATTTAAGTGGTTTACTGTCTATTTTTAATCAGAAAAGTACTTTTTAAATTCCATTTTTTGGGGAGATTACTTGAAGAGTTTACTCCTATGAGTGTACAAGTGTTCCCCCTATACGGGATCTTATTTTTGTATAATGTAATGAGGATACATCTATTGTAGTTTTTAATCAACAAATTCATAAAAGCACTGATAATTGATTGCTTTATTGCATCTCTTGTTAGGGTTATTTGCTAGTACTTTACAGTATTATCTATCAATAGATGTAAGGTAGTACAGTTTTCTGTAGTGTGAACTTAAAAAAAATAAAATCTCTTAATGTGGAGTCTTTGAAGAGCATTTGTGTGTGATCATATTCACTTTCCAGCATGGCACTTGGAGGCTTTGTAACTGGGTTGAGCTACAGCCAGACTGCTCAAATTCTATGTGTATCTCTAGAGAATAAAAACCTCTTTATCATTAAATGCATAGGATAGCTTGAAGCCATCCCGTTGAGCTGTGGGATTTATTTCAGGTTTTGGGAAAGTAGATAACTGAGGGAGTGAGTATTCTTGCTTGGATAATGCACTGTTTGTTTTGGAAGGAAGTTTCCTATGACTAAATAAGAACAAGATGTGTGACCACCTTCCAGGGAGGAGGCTGTTTGGTCAGCATCAAATTAAAAGGAAAAATTTAGAGGAGGCAATTGCCCATTTTTACATAGTGTTTGAAATGTTTTCATTTTTCTTCTGAGCTTTAATTATACGGTATGTGAATGGCAACAAGAAAGGCCAGAGGTTTTCTTCTGTTCTTGGAAGTATAGCTTTATCACATCGTTGGGAATTTATAGCCTAGTAATATGTAGTGTTTTTTCCATTCCTGTGTTTTACAATTGGTTTGTAGAGCCTCGTAGTTTGGCAGCAGAGAGTTCAGTTTTTCATGATTTTTTTTTTTGGCATGAAAGGGTTACTGTTCACGTTTCCTGTGTAATTCCTTCTGATCTTGCTGGGCTGTAATTACTTTCTTGATGTTAAACATTCCCAGGCTCCTATAACCTTCTAGCCTGCTTGCACTGGCCAAGTTTGTCCCAGGTGATCGTGTGGGCGAACCTCCTGTTTTTAAGGATAAAAATCTCTGCTTCCTGTGTAGGGTAGGCCACAAACTCATTCCTTTGCTGTGCAAACCCAGGATAAATCTTTTTTTTTTTTTTTTTTTTTTTTTTTTTTTTTTTTTAATAATAGGGTAACACATCAGCCTTTCAGAGTCAGATTTAGCAGCTAAATTTGTGACAGACAAAGTGGGTGGGTTTAGAACTTGCTGAATCTTGGTTGAATGATTTCTAGTTCACATTAAAGATTCTTCTCTTAATTCATTTGGAAAATAGGTTGTGATATAAAAAAGATCTTGACTGCAGTGTCTCACGTCTGGCCGTATAATTGCCCAATGGTTTTAAGGTTGTTTAAATGGAGAACTACTTAGTTGAGCTTCCAGGATCTTTCTTTTCTTTTAAATTCTTTGCTGAAGCTGTTTATCTTGCAAAAAAATGAGATGGATTCTCTCCTCGACATATAGTTGTTATCTTGTATTTCTTCTCATTTTTAATTTGTGACATATAAGCATTAAACAAAGTATTGTTTTCCTTTTTAATGTAAGTAGCTGCAT